TTCCACTGATTTCCTACTTGCTGATCAATCCATCCTTCCCTTTCACATCCTGAGTAAGGTTACAGTCTGTGGATTAGAAACAAAACCAGTCACCTTTCATACTTGGGCTCCTTCATCGCACCCTCCCCATCTAATGCTTCTCCAGTAATTCATTTTGGGCATTTGGGTTTCTTTCAGACTGGAAGGCTACACTTGAAAAGAAAGAGTCAGCTTCTGAAGAGGATGTTGCTGTGGAAGAACGATCCCACTGCATGGAAAGGAAACGGTGTGTATGGGAGGAGGGCCTGTGGTCAGGTCCGGGCCCCTGGGGGCAGTTCAGGAGTTCTCTGTGAGTCAGATGGTACCTACCTCAGGGAGACTGCTGAAGGGGAATGTGGTACGCATGACCTTGGGGGAAGGTCCCTGGCTGTAGGCCTTCTGCCTCCTACATTACCCACAAGAACACATTTCCATAGCTCAACTCTCAGGTTAAAGACTTGAAACAATTCTTTTTCCCTTAATCATCAGAAAGACTGGGCTAATCTAAAGCCTTGTGAAAATCACCAAAGTGCTAGAGTCTTCTGTCAGAGCCTTTACTTGATTAAACTAGAAAATGTTGAAATGGGAAATAAAAAGCCTTGTGAGTATACTGTCAGTGGTGCCTCTTTTAACTATGGTGTGTCCTTTCATTTTCATAATAGAATATTTTCAGCAGAGAACAGCAGTGACTGTACAGATGTTGGAAACAAGGTTAATCACAGTATGTCTCTGAATGAACACAAGCCAATGCATTTTGGTGAAGGTCAGTGTGAGTGTGACAAATGCCTTGTACAAACTGATGTAAATGGTCCTGGAGAAGAACTAGTTAGATGTGAGGACTTTGATGCCTTCCACGTGGCCTCCTGTTTTACTAACTGTGACATCATTCAGACTGGAAAGAAGCCATACGCATGTAATCAGTGTGGAAAATCTTTCAGCTGTTGCTCTAAGCTGCTTGTACACCAGAGAACACACACTGGAGAAAAGCCCTATGAATGTACTTGGTGTGGGAAGTCTTTCAGGCAGAGCTATCACCTTATTGTACATCAGAGAACTCACAGTGGAGAGAAGCCCTATGAATGTAACCAGTGTGGGAAATCATTCACCCAGAGTTCAAAACTTGTTAGGCATCAGCGAACTCACACTGGAGAAAAACCATATAAATGTCATGTATGTGGAAAATCTTTCAGGCGGAACTTTAACCTTATTGTACATCAAAGAATTCATACGGGAGAGAAACCTTATCAGTGTACTCATTGTGGAAAGTCCTTTAGCCAGAGCTCTGATTTTGTTGCACATAAAAGGACTCACACTGGAGAGAAACCTTATGAATGTAACCAGTGTGGAAAATCCTTCATTCGAAGCACTCAACTCATTAGGCATCTGCGAATTCACACTGGAGAGAAGCCATATAAATGCAATCAGTGCGATAAAGCCTTCTCTGGGAGCTCTCACCTTGCTGAACATCAGAGAACCCACACTGGAGAGAAACCTTTTGAATGTAATCAGTGTGGGAAAGCCTTCACTGGGAGCTCCCGCCTTCTTTCACATCAGAGAATTCATTCTGGAGAGAAACCATACAAATGTAATGACTGTGGGAAATATTTTCGGCAGCGATCAGAGCTTGTTGTGCATCAGCGAACCCATACTGGAGAGAAACCTTATGAATGTGGTTATTGTGGGAAAGCTTTCAGTCAGAGGTCTGCCCTCATTCTGCATCAGAGAACACACCTTGGAGAGAAGCCCTTTCAGTGTAACATGTGTGTTAAAGCTTTCCGTCAGAGGTCACGCCTTATTGAACATCAGAGAACACATACTGGAGAAAAGCCCTATGAATGTATTGACTGTGGGAAAGCCTTCAATAATCGGTCAACCCTTAAGATACATAAGAGAACACACACTGGTGAGAAACCCTATGAATGCGGTCATTGTGAAAAGGCTTTTAGCCAGCGGTGTCAACTTACTAGGCATCAGAGAATTCATACTGGAGAGAAACCTTATGAATGTAACAAGTGCGGGAAAGCTTTCGGTTACAATAAATCCCTTATTCAACATGAGAAGACTCATGGGAGAGAAACCCTATGAATAATCAAGACGGAAAGGCTCACTGCCAGACCTTTACTAGACCTCAGATGACCAAAGTATCTCTCTTAGGGCATGGTCTAATAGCAGCATGCATCAGAATCTCTAGCAGTAAAACCCAGGACCTGCAGTTTCTGAAAGCAGTACATGTGATTTGTATGTACATCAAAATGTGCTTCTGCATTTAGGTGAGAAACTATGACCACTAATGAGAAACTTCCAGTCAGAGTTTTTAACAGGTGTTAAGAAATTCGGAGTGGAACAGTACCTAACACAGACTCATCTAGTGCAACCACCCATTTAATCAGATGTCCCTGTAGCACATTCCAAGAAATGATGGGGAACTGTAAGATATTCCTGATACAGAGTCCCAAACACATAATCAAGAAACAATTCCATGAGGAGGTTGGTGTTAGGCGACAAAATATGAAGCCAGGTATGTTCCGTGTAAACCAGTAATTAAGAACGTGAAGGAGGACTGATGACGGGAAGGCTTCTGAAATAATTTTTGTTCAAATTAAAAGTAGACTCCAAATATTTCAGGGCCTTTGTTGTGTGCTCTAACTTCGTTGCTTGGTTAGGTCAGCTCTCTAATTAGAGCTGGGAGCATATCAATATGGGAAAGATCAGATGAAATAAAAACAGGACCCCAAATAGTATATATACAGGCATTACAGCCACACAAAAACATGTACACAGATAGTTAGTTAACAAGGTCAGCTCAGCAGGATGTTCAAAAAAATGCGGAGTGTGAATCAATGGTGAAGATGGTGAAGAAAGTGGGAGGGGCAGTTACTGGAAATTTGGGCAAGATGCAAGCAGGAGAGCAAACATCACCTGGAGAGACAGTGGGAAAGGCTGAAGCCAGGAGCAAGTGAAGGAGGGCTGCAGTGGGAGGCCCCAGCCCCGCAGCAGAACTGCGGAATGACAGGAAGGGTAGGAAAGCAGGGTTAAAAGTTTGTCCATGAAATTTGAAAGTTCATGAAACTCCAGATCTCTTCCCCTTTCTCCCTTTTTTTTCTTGTTTTGCATTAAGCGACTAGCTGTGGGTGAGCAAAAGGAGAATGAGTTATGTACCTAAAAAAAAAAAGTCTAGGGGTTAGGAGAGTCTCGTGTATTATGCTCCAGAACAAGGACTGCCTTTTTTTGACATTGGAAGTGCATCTGTCCTAAGAGCTTCCCATGTGCTTTCTGATAGTCTCTTCAGTGTGGGTGGGAGCCAAGGAGCAAACAACTGGAGGAAAGCCTCACACGAAAGAAAAATTCTTAAAGTAAGTGTCAAATGACAGCCTCTTCAACAATGGGTATTGGCAAAACTGGGCAGCTGCATGTAAGAATGAAACTGGATTATTGCCTAACTCCATACACAAACTAGAAATGGATCAAAGACCTGAATGTAAGTCATGAAACCATAAAACGTAGAAGGAAACATAGGCAAAAACGAGTAAAACATGAGCAACTTTTTCATGAACACATCTCCTTGGGCAAGGGAAACAAAAGCAAAAATGAACAAATGGGACTACATCAAGCTAAAAAGCTTCTGTGCAGCAAAGGACACCATCAGCAGAACAAAGGGCATCCTGCAGTATGGGAGAATATATTTGTAAATAACATCCAATTAGAGGTTAACATCCAAAATATATAAAGAACTCATACGCCTCAACACCCAAAAAGCAAATAACCATGTTAAAAAATGAGTTTATGAACGGACAGTTCTCCAAAGAAGAAATTCAGATGGCCAATAGGAACGTGAAAAGATACTCCACGTCGCTAATTATCAGGGAAATGCAAATTAAAACTGGGATGAGATATCACCTCACATCAGTAAGGATGGCTAGCTTCGAAAAGACTAGGAACAAATGCTGGCGAGCATCCAGAGAAAGGGGAACCCTCCTACACTGCTGCTGGTAGGGATGTAAATTAGTTCAACCATTGTAGAAAGCAATGTGGAGGTTCCTCTAAAAGCTAAAAATAGAAGTACCATTTGAACCAGGAATTCCACTCCTAGGAATTTACCCAAAGAGAACAACTCAGATTCAGAAAGACAGATGTACCCCTATGTTTATCGCAGCACTGTTTACAATAGCCAAGAAATGGAAGCAACCTAAGTGTCCATCAGTAGATGAATGGATGAAGAAGATGTGGTACATATACACAATGGAATACTACTCAGCCGTAAGAAATAAACAACTTCAGCAATTTGCAACAACATGGATGGAGCTAGAGGGTATTATGCTCAGTGAAATAAGCCAGGCAGAGAGAGACAAGTACCAAATTTCCTTCATTTGTGGAGTGTAACAATGAAGCAAGATGGAAGGAACAAAACAGCAGCAGACTCAGACTCACAGACTCCAAGAAGGGACTAGTGGCACCAAAGGGGAGGGGTGGGGGAGGAAGGGAGGGAGAAGGGGATTGAGGGGTATTATGATTAGTACACATGGTGTAGGGGGATCACAGGGAAGACAGTGTAGCTCAGAAGACAAGTAGTGACTGTGGCATCTCACTACACTGATGGACAGTGACTGCAGTGAGGTATGGGGGGGAACTCGATAATATGGGTGAATGTAGTAACCACAGTGTTTTTCATGTGAAACCTTCATGCATGTATATCAGTGATACCTTGAAAAAATAAAAAGATTAAGTGTCTTAAGATAAACTCCTAAGAACAGATATTTAGGGGAACCATGTATTAAAATGTTTTTAAAAGTGAGTCAAGAAGTAATTGCAAATGAATGGTGAAGCTGTGGTGCTTCTTTAAAGAAGAGAATTATGAGAACAAGAATGGACTATGAAACTGAAAGTAAGATTGTTGGGTTGAAAAGGGGGGAAACATACCCAGAGCTGAAGGGCCTTCAGATCATGCCGGCCACCAGCCAGTATTAGTAAGATGCATGCAGCACGAGTAATTGAGAACACCATAATTTGAAATATATCACAAAATTCTGGAGAGAATAATTTTGAAACCAAGAAAGAAATGGTTTCTTTTTGTTTCTTATAGTTAAAATAAAAAAGTAATCAGAGACTCAGATTGTTCAAGAAACTGTGCAAATTGTACAAGACAAGTGAAACCCAGATGTGAAGCAAACTTGAGAAGGGAGTATTCATTTGGACTTGATGCCAGTAATTCGCCTTTGAAGAGGCCGAGGGCTTGTGATGTCCGCACAGAGGAGGGGGAACTTCAGTCAGATTATGTTGATTGGCTCTTCACCAAGCAGTATTTGCGTAAATGTGATATAAACCGTAGTTCCTGGCTTTTTGTTTGAGGAAGAAGCCCAGAGCTGTGACGTGAGGATTTCATCAGTCTTGTCGCTAATGGCACAGTCTGGGGCTGTTTTAAAGGAGAAGGGGAAGAGGTGGAAGGGTGGAGGAGCAGCCCTGTGCCGTCATCTGGGAAGTGGGCTTTTAAGTGTAATAGGTTAGGTTACTTAGGAGACCAAAAGTAGAGTTCAGAATGGCAACGTGGCAAAACTGGAAACAGAAACAGCAACATGAGTCAAATCTAATTTCTTTACCAGAGCAGGAAGTTAGTAAAGTCTATAGTCTATGAAAAATCAGAATTACAAAGGTAGCCTCAGAAAGAAGTGGAATAGAAATGGTTAAAAGTGGTTAATGGGATTTTGTGGCTTTTGGGAAATGTGGGGCAGGAGTTCACTGCTTTCCATGTTCAACCTGTAGCCTGTCATCCCCTGGTGGTACACTTCTTTGGGTAACAAGTTATTTCTTTTTTTTTTTTTTTTTTTAGGGAAAAAAAGCCTAATTTATTTGTTTTATAAAATAAAATATAATGAGATCTTGATTTAGATACTAAGATGAGGCAGATAAATTGTTAGTATTCCCTATTCACGTAAATAAGCCAGGAAGGGAAATTACCAATTCCTGTTACCTGCGCAGTCACTTCAAAAATTCTTCTTAAGTAAATCAAAATAAAAACAACTTGGTTTTTGGTTACCCTTTTCCAGTCAAATTTTCCAGATATTCTGGGAGCAATGAGTTCAATTTGGTGTCTTCTGTTCTGGGAATGAACAATTAGTTTATACTGAGATCTCAGCTTTCAAATGTTGTGACCAATTATTTGTGAGTTATAATCTGCAGGTTCCATTTTTAAAATATGTGGGATAACACTGTCAATTCGTACATTGCCAATGAGACCTTTGAAAAACAATTCTTCAGTGATGGTAGCATTCATCAGTCTCAAAGCTGGCAATTTGAGTAGTAGTCTGGACAACCGGTAGGCGTCATCCGGATATGTTTTAGTTATAAAATCTTGGAATTCCACATATGCATTTTCTTGAAATTTCTCAATCTGTTCCTTGTTTTCTAAGCCAGGATGATCTGGACTGAAGAGTACTATTGCCTTTAGGTAAGCATATTCATATCCATCAATGCAGAGTTTAACCATGCTGCTACAAACTCCTGTAGTTTGAAAATGTGCTCCATCAATAACTTTCTTCTTTCTGTTGACATTTTATCTTGTTGAAAGCTACTATGAAGACAATTGACAAATGTTGCTAATATAGTTGCCACATTCATTACCTGCCAGCACTGGGCAAGACCAAGAGTAAAAAGTTCATTCCAGTAAGCTTTCACCAATGATACGCTGTTTTCTTGCCCTAGAGCCTGGAAGGAAGGGATTGAAAGTGCCCAGTGCATTGATAAGAACAGCAGTCTGGAGGCGGACTCCCGATGTAGTGCCCGTTCAGGTACTCAGGCATTGGAGAAGGCATGGTGAGCCTGAAAGCTACATGTGAATTGCTGAGAAGTGGCCCTTCTTTTTCGATGTAATTTATGCTTGGGTCTCCAGCAATTAGGTGTATGCTTCCTTCCATGCCCTCTGCTGAGCTCTGACAGGCTGTGCTCTCTCCAGGATTCAGTGCTTTTACAAGAGTGTCAAATGCCCTTGAAACATCACCGTTGGTCTGCATTTCTTGGTGAAATTCACACAAAGAGGTATCACCATTGCTTAAGCTTTCAATCATAGGCATTTCATTACTATTCTGAGAATGACCTTTAGTTTTTCCAAAATTTGCTAATGATGTAACCACACTGGCCAAGGTACTTAAATCTCCCTGACAGGATTCAACCTTATCTGGTGTCATCAGCACAGCTGACTCAGTTTTTATTCCAGACTGATGAATATTCACAAACATTCCAGAATCTAATAGTCCTGCTGATCTTGCAATTTCACTATCTGTTACAAAAGTTGGAGTTGCAGTTAATGGACTTCGAAGGTCTTTGCGGATGTAGATTTTTTCAGTTGAAGCAGCACAATTGGAAGATTTTTCTCGTGACACTTCAATGGGTTTTCTTTCACATTGAACAGAGTCTTGTTTCATTCCAAATGCAATACATCTCTGTAACCTGCAGTATTGACAGCGGTTTCGATGATGTTTATTGATAATACAGTCCTTTGATCCTCGACATGAATAAACTAAATTTTTTCAGATGCTTCTTTTAAAAAATCCTTTGCAGCCTTCACAAGTTACTGCTCCATAATGACGCCCTGATGCTTTGTCTCCACATACTAGGCAAAGATCAGAAAACTTATTTGGTCCTTGGTCTGCTGAAGAATTATCTGTTAAGAGAGTTATGGAAAAGTATGACTGATATGCAATGGCATGAACTTTTCATTAGAAAGTTGTCTCAGATTTGGGTTAGGTTGAAAGCATGGACTCTGGAGGTGTTGTGCAGACAGATCAGGAGTTGTAAAAAATAACTGGTTAACACCTGCTGCATCTGGAGTTGTGAGGAAAACTTTCCCTGGAGTGGAATCTTGCCTGGCCAGGATGACTTTGCTTGGAGTAGAGCCATCATGATTTGTCAGGATGAACTGCTTGCCTTGTGTATTATGATCAAGTGCTGCCACGATCTGGATTTTCTGGCCAGTTTGCTGCTCTGTAACAAGCATTTGCAACAACATGGATGGAGCTAGAGGGTATTATGCTCATTGAAATAAGCCAGGCGGAGAAAGACAAGTGCCAATGATTTCACTCACCTCTCCCATCTGCTGTTCAATAATCTGGTGTGCAATTTCTTCTATAGTTGCCATGTTAATTGCCAAAATGTCCGGCACTTCTCGACCAAGCTACGTCCTGCAGTAGGCATAGACCGGACAGTCCCGCTGCAACGGCTGCTTGGGGGTGCCGAGAAGACACAGGTTGGAGAAAGCTGAAGGGTAAAGAGAAGTGGGGGAGGGAAGTTTCTAGATTTGTGTATTTGGGGGGGGGTCAGAGTTTGTGACCCCACCCTCAGCTCCACAGTGTGCACTTCCCAACAAGTTATTTCAAATGTGTCCTTGCAGGTGAGCAAATAGTAACTGGAAATCTGCAATTGATTTATAGGATTATGTACAATTTTCCTTCTTTTGATTCAGTGTCACTGTAATTAGTAAATAGATGATTAAAAAAGCAAGAGTAAAAAGAAAAATGTCACTTTTCTGTTTGGCCAAGTGGAGTTGATCCTAGTAGGGCAGGAAGGCTCCTTGGCTTCTTAGAAGTCCTTGGAATTAAAGGGTGGTTTATCTCTTAAGACTGGATTTTACAGAAACCTTATAACCAGTACGTTAGTGGGTCCCAGAGAGTGGGGACCTGGAAAGGTGCTGGTGTCTTGGGACAACTGGTGGAATCGCTTCTGAAGGAGCAAGATAGGTGTGTGAATTTACCTAACTGCCAAATACTGAACACACTTCCCTAATGTCCCTCTGGCTGTTATCTGGTACCTTTCATAAAATTCATTAAGTAATATAGCCTTCAAGACCCCTAAGACCCTAGGTATCAGATGGGAGACATTTGCCTAGTGCAGCCTAGACAGAAAGGGTCGGGGGCGCTTTGCCTCCTGGTTAGACAGCTGGTCCTACTGCCGGGACCAACGTGGATGTGTAGCTTCAGAAGATGCCAGAGCCTGGGAGGAAGGGCCTTCTGGACAGATCCAGCAAAGGGAACATGGTTTGACAATGTCTTGTTGACCAAACATCTGAGAGACGTTTCTGTTCAGCAAGTCGTGGAAGTAGCCACCTCGTTCAGTGATTCCCTGCTAAAGTCCAAGGTACATAAGGTGTGTGCCATGCCACAGGGTCCTCGAGTCCTGCTTTCCAGAACAGGGGCTCCACATAGGAGCTTGGCGGTTACGTGCTCCTGGAGCCTACACCCACCCAAGGAATGGAAGGACAGCCACCGCCGTGTACACGAGTGCAGCAGG